CAATAGTCGTGCATTTTCACAAATTGTCTTGAACATATCTATCTTCATGTAACTTCTAAAAAAAAAGGTCTACCTTCATGCATATACATGTAACTAAAGCCTCTTCCACCTATTTGACAACAGACATTTTTCTAGAATCATACACAATAAGGGAAGATCCAATTTGACGAAAACGAAGTATCACAAGGAAGATTCAGGGTTCCACAAACTTATTTCACCAGCTAATACTCATCGGGCAGTGGAAGCTTAAGAGATTCCTGATGACATCCAATTGAAGGTTCCCAACAACAATCTATTCAAATAAAGAAAACTTCATGAAATTCCCTTGAAGCAGATAAATGATGCAGCTGAACAAATGTCTGTTGTGACAGAGAATGAGAAGATGGATGTCTTTTGCAGCCCACCTGAAGATACTGTGGAATTCCCATGTATGAGAAGGAACATGAAATTCACTTGAACCATACAGATTGTGCGAATGAAAAGATCTCAGTGGTAACTGAGATAGAAAGTTCAGACAGCTTGTTTGTCAACTGGGGGTCCCAGGAAAGTCTAGAAAGGTATCCGGTGGGAAAACAAGAGGGAGAAGTGAGAAGTTGAAGAGATATGCTGAGAATTCTGAAAGAAAGAATGGTAGTAATGAATTTCTTTTCTTGAGTCTGATCAGTCTTTTTATTTTACATAATTTATGGACCAATTCAGGCCTTCTTTCTTGATTCTAGAGTCAAGTTCTTATGGATGATCATCTCTTATAATTGGCTAACCGGTCAACCGCAGTAGTCAAGGTAAGTATAAATAATTTATATAATATATTGAATTTATAACTGAAAATTCAATAGGAATAGTTTCTTATTTGCAAGCTTGAGCTGTACTACTAATGCTCTTGGATGGTAAAAGAAATCTAACATAATGAAAGGAAGTGGCTAATTTAACACTATCTGGAGGATTATTAACTTGATGTATGCTTTTACTTGAACAACATTATTTAGCTAGCTGAAACATAGTGAGTATTCCGTGCCTTTGGCCGTTGTTCAATGTCGGTTCCTCTGAAGCAGTGTCCGGAACCAATAGGCAGACATCTTAGGATACCTCTTCAAGTTGTTAGGCCGGTCGATATATACAATTCCAAACCTTGAAGTGTATCCTAATCTCCATTCAAAATTGTCAACCAACGACCAGGCAAAGTAACCAGCTACATTTGCTCCATCATCTACTGCCTTCTTCAATTGCGTCAGATATCCTTTGTAAAAGTTTATTCTGGTAGTGTCGTGTAGTCCTTGACGAAGTGTGACATTTCCTGGATCATCCATCCCTGCATGCAAAAATAATAAGGTAAAGATTTGAAAACTGAAATAGTATGTTTCTTCTTAACTAACATCCAATGAACTGGATAAGGAGTCTCTTATAATTAGTTCTATATCTATACTACAACTTTCTAATATATCATAGCAATTAAGTAATTTTCTATTGTACTTAGTTAAGATCGTCAATAATTAATAAGAAATATGGTACCTAAGAGGCATCATAGAACTTCTCAAAGTTCTAACCAAATTTAACTAACTCAAAAATATATGAGATATCTTAATTCTTACCATTTTCAGAGAGAAACACAGTAGGGTTCTGATATCGTTCCTTTATATACATCAAAGCCTTATACATCCCCCAAGGTACATTATAGAGCCAATTAGAATTTGCCTGCAAATGTTCGATCAATTAGGATGAATTAGATCGAAATTCAATTAAATAGAATAAGAGTATGAGTATAATACTTGTGTTATGGGAATATACATGAACATAATATTGTAATAACCAGTTAACCTCGTGATTTTTCTCTTAACAAGTGATAATTGAAGATATGAGAGGAGCATCAAATATGTAAATTATCACATTTTTTACTATCAAATAATTTAAGAATTGATTGAGATATAATACTTTTGAACTAAATATGACTTTAGTGTTAAATTCATTGTTTCATTTTCATTCATGGCTGACTACCAAGTGAGAAAAGTAAATGGAAGAGACTTACTCTTGGACCAATTGGCACTTCTTTCTTCTCATCTGCAAAGTCAAAAAATGGTTGAAAATCAAAGAATATATAAGTATATATAGATTTTTATGCGTGTTTTATAATCTATAAAAGAGCCAGATCACACAGACAGGGAGCAATTACTTACAAACAAATGCAGCATTCCAGTCTTGCTGGTAACCCAAGACCTTAGGATTTGATGGGGGTGGGTTAGATATGTAATAGGTAGTGTACTGGTTGATACCCACAAAATCAATGGAGCCTTTCACCATCTTAACCTCTTCTTTTGTGAACTTGGGTAATCTTTTCCCAACAATTTCTTGCATTGTCCTTGGATATTCACCATATACAATTGGATGAATAAACCTACATAATATCCGAACATTGTATCAACTACAAATTTTTTATATCTTATATTTTAGTTAAGATACGAAGTTAAATAAGTGATTATGGTGGATTCCTCTAAAAGTTAAGAAGAGAGCAAATGATAAAATCCATTTTTTATACTCTTATAAGATGGTTCAAAAAGAGTTAAAATTTGTACCATCCAACATGGAAGTCTCTTGCTCTTTGAGCTGCATAGTTGTCAGCCTTGGATCTGGTAAGAGGTTCATACCATACAAAATCCAACAAAATTCCAATCTTTCCCTTTTGCTTTTCCTGAACATTACAGAATTGAAGAACATAAACCCGGGTTGCTAATGTCCGTGTTAATTATGTAATTAGTACTTAATTAAGCAATAAACAATCATGTTAATTACTTGGTACTTTTCGCGGTATCTCTGAACAGCAGCAGCATGAGATAGAATCAAATGATGGGCAACAATGTAAGGCTCTGTTGCTGAGTTTCCAACAGTACAATTTCCAAACTCTTTAGAACACCTTCCTGGAGCAAAGAAGCCATTGTCATACCCGAGAGCAGCTACCACTCTCGGTTCATTAAATGTCATCCAGTTCTTCACTCTGTCTCCAAACATTTTGAAGCAGAAATCAGCATAGTCTGCAAAATCCTTCCTGTAAAAAGGAAAAAGATTTACACCAGTTAATCAAATTTCACAATGTATTTTACACACAAACATATGTATAACCAGTAAAAATTAGACTACTTACACTACTTGGTCATTTAGCAGCCCATTGTACTTCTTCTCTAGTGCCAGAGGAAGATCATAGTGATACAAATTGACATATGGAGTAATGCCTGTAAATATTATTTTGAATGAAATCAATTTGAGAAAAAAAAAATTGAAAATTACAATGAAAAAATGTCGGCATCATATGAATCTCCTTTACCTTTTTCAATCAGGTAGTTAATCAATCTATTGTAATATGCAACTCCTTTCCAGTTAACTTTGCCAGTTCCATCTGCATTCACAAGATTCTTAAGATTTTTCATCCATGAAAACTAATTGAATATTTTGGAGTAGGTGTAAATGTTAGTGTATTAGATCCAAATAATATATAGAATCATTTTCTATCACTTTAAATTTTTTGTTAATAAATTATTTCTCATTATTCAAAGTATGCCTTATGTTTAAATTTTGACTGCTGTCGAAGTTCTATTAAAGTAAATTTCAGCAATGTCAATAATATAAGGTGGGTACTAACTAGTTTTCTATAGAGTTACTTATATATATATATATATATATATATGCATTTAAAAGAAGTTTCTACAAAATTGATTTTAATCAATTAATTTGATGATAAAATGAGTTTAAAAAATTTAGAAAGCTGATTAGTTAATCACCTGGGAAAATTCTAGACCAGGAAATTGAGAATCTGTAGGCATCAAAGTTCAATTTATGCATGATATCCACATCTTCCTGGAACAATCAAAAGAAAGAAAAATTACAAAATTATAAATATATTATATAACTTGTATCCACACTTACAAATATATATATTTGTTGAAATATACATTTCAATACACATATATATATATATACATATATGCAATATTGATGACTATTCGATTCTTTACTTTTTGCAATATTTCTTTTTTATGTCCTTATCTCTAATTATAAACATCGTAAAATTAATATAATACAATAAAGCAAAAAGAAAATCTTATCTTGAGCTGTCGTTTCATCATAATTGCTGTTGCTATATTTTAGAATTAGTAAATTCAAAATTAAATAAGCAAACCGTGTAATAAACAGACGATGCTCTCTACTTCCCTTACTGCAAACTTGAACATAAACCAACCGGTAGCGTTGAACATATTCCATCTGGAGGAAACAGTTGATTTCTATGTGAATTACAATGATTCTCGGAAATGGAAGGAGTTTTCTGACCTTCTCTCTCGTCATATTTGCTTCGAAACCGATGTGATGATGGGCTCTAGGTCGTGATGATGATTGTGAGCAAGATGAAACCGAGGACAGCGACATGGAAGAAGAAATAGCACGGCAGTGAGACTCGACGAAGAAGAGAAGAGGACAAAAGACATAACGAGAAAAGAGCAAAGAGTAACAAAGAGAACCGTGATTTGGAGCAGTGTAGGTGGCCGAATTCGGCTATAAAAAGGGGTCGAGACTGAGTAGAGGAGCCTAGAGGAGATGAAATAGATCCTAACAACTGACGGTATCGTAACTATGAAAACGGGTTACAAGTTTTGTCAAAAACGAAGGACTTTAGGTCGAATAACATTTGGGAAACAATTTGGCCCCTCCTCGTACCTGAGCATGAGAGACAATTGTTGTGGTTGTTAACCTCGAGAAACCTTATTTGTGAATGAAGAAAGAATCATGGGTACCTTACCCAAGATGCCAAATCTTTGATCAATGCCTTAACTGTTTGACCTCTAAATAAGTGTCGAATTAGCTTCTTGATAGTAAATATACTAATGGATTTTCTTTTTTTTTTATATATATTTCTTTTGACCGGTGGATCTATTTGGACTTTCATAAAGAAGTGTTCATGACATTATGGAGTGGAGATCAATCTTTTGCTACTATTGCCTGGTTGTTATGGAGAAGAAGAAATGAGTTTGCATATGATGGTGAGGACGTAGTTTCTAGCACATTCCAACTATGAGGCTGCCAACCTTACCCTTGAGTTTTAGATATAATCCAGAGAGATGATTCAAGCTTAATATTAATGGTTTTGCATATGTTGGTCTGGGCATGGCTAAAGTTGCAAGACTCATTCGTGATGGTGGCGGGCTTTATGTACTATATCGGTAATAGCGATGTCACGAGCGTAGAGAGTATTAGAGTACCGAAGAGTCAGTCTTAAGTTGGTATGGGATAAGAGAATTAGGAAACTAGTCATTAAGGTGGATTTCCTACATCACTACAGGTTGATAAACTTGAAAAGATTGCCACGATGATTAATTTACAGATTAAGAATCTCCTTGGTCGTGATTGGGAGATCTACGTCTCCCGCATGAATTGAACTCTCTGCTCATTGGGTGCACCATATCTATAGATACTGTGTGAAAATTAGATCAGCTCCCCATTACCCTCAACAAGTACCTTTATTTGGACTATTGCGGCACTGATTGGATAATTAATGTTAATAGCCTACAATTTATCCAGTTAAAGAAGTAAATTAGACATTAAATTTTATAAAATTTTTGTTTATAAAGAGAATTACCCTGTAACGATGGTATTGGTCTACTGCAACTTCGCCGGTGGCGTTGTTTGCAACAATCCCTATTTAATAAACAAAACAAAGAAAAATATTTAATAATAAGGAAAAAATTAAATTAATTCTAAAAAATTCAAACTAAAAAAGGAGGAGAAAAAAAGGTACCAGGGAGTTTTACGAATTCATCCCAAATGCTAGGGCCACGACCGTCCTCATCAGCCATTCCTTCAACTTGATAAGCAGACGTCGCCGTTCCGAACAGAAAGTTCTTCGGAAAGCTTGCTCTGCTCAGACCGCCGGTATCGAAATGGACGGCGTCCGGCTCTGCAGCTCCATTGAAGCCCGATGCAGAAACGACGCACTGGGTAGCGAGGAGGAGTACTAAAACGCAGAGTAGCCTCCTCATTAATCCTTAATTAGCAAGCAAGGAGAAGAAGAAGAAGAAGAAGAAGAGTACCGAGAATGATGTTTGGTGTGAGGGGGAGGAGTGAAAATCTTATCTATTTATAGACATAATATATGAACAAAATATTTAAATATAATGAATAGAGTTAGAAGAAAAATAAAAGTTGGTTATTTCAAAATTCAGCTCTCATTTGGACCCTATGCATCACTGTACTTTAGTTTAAAACTAAATTTAAATTTAAAATTTGAGTTTTGTGTCTGATATGACGTAGTGGTGACTCATATTCAGTAATTACTTTCTACATATTTATAGATAACAAGTTTATATGGTATGAAGCTCTTTGTCCCATTCTCTTTTAAGTTTATTATTAAATGAATGCATCTTACACCACCCTTCGATTTGCTTAATTATTATTTTTTTTAATAAAATGTCACGGACGTGTTAAGAAATTTTATACGTGATATTTAGGGTTTAATGATATTAGATGTTCGTAACGTTAATAATTAATTTTAATCTTTTTTTTAAACTTATAAAACTAAATTATTGTGAAATTGAGGCATATGTCAAATTAAAAAAAATAATAATAATAATAAATTGAAAAAGTGAATTTGTATGATAATTTACTTAATTATTTTTAATAAAAGATTAACTATTACTAATTAATAATGATTGACTGAAAAGAGAAGGGCTGACCAGCAGCAGCATCACGTGAAAATTCACGATTGCGCCCCACATCATAATTAAACTATCCAGACAAAAAGTAGTATGATTTTGCGCAGCGCTGACAAGGTGCCATACTTTTTTTTTTTTTTTTGTCATTTTGTGGAAAATGAAGGGTAAATTGGTCAATTAATATAGGGCCTCCTCCTCTTCCGTCCGTCCGTCCGTCCGTCCGTTGCTGATATTTATTTTCGGCTCCAAAATTAACTATTTTGGATTGGGAAATTTATTACAAAATCAGGGGTATATTCGTCATAACAGATATTCCAAAAATTATAAAGATTTATTTTAGTTATTATATAATTTGACACGTGATTAATTACTTACAAGTGTTAGTACAAAGCCCGAGAAGTTCCTTGCCTTGTCGACCACATTCCTCCATTGGGTTTCACGACTAATTATTGGTCAGCACCATTTGTGGTGTCTAATTGTAATTAAAAATGTATACATCATTCGTTAGTTAATTATTACTAATTAATAATTAACAATTAATATAATTTTTCACGTAATAATTACACAATTCGGCTGTAATTAGTATTTCTAAAATTTTAAGTATTTCTTGTGTCATTTATCTTGAATAAAGATATCGATGTTATTATATAGTTTTAGTTGACAGTGGTCCAATGATCTGCTTTTTTAAAAGAAAAAAATTTAATGGTATAATCTAAAATTATTACACTATTAGGATAAGTAATACCTAATAATTTGCAGTTAAAGAACCCATTTTAAAATGTACATGAATCGGAAAAATGTGCAGTTTTATTTTTTATTTTTAAAATTTAATTAGGGGTGAACTTGACCAGATTAAAAGCCCAAATAATCAAAAACGAAAAGATAGTCCGGCCCGAACCCAAGTCCGAACCCAGCCCAGTCCAGGATGACCCATGAAAAGCTCCAATTTGGATTTTCCAATCCGAGTTTCATCTTGGCCCACATCAACGTTTCTTTACATTTTAAAACAGTATGAAAACAAAAGCTGTGTTAATTCAACTCCATGATCAAGTAAATAAGGAAGGAGACGGATGGTTCTGCGATTGGAGGGAGACTCGGTGAATTTAAGTCTCTGTAAATACCCGACCCGGATGTACATACACCCATTTATCTATAAATGCAGGTGCTTGCATCATAAATAATGATTTGTTAAATACATAAATACATTCCGTTTTTCATGGGTCCCGTCCATCAAGCTGACTGAAGGAGGGAAGAAAAGTACCGGCGACTTCTGGTGTAGTTGCAGGCCAGTGACAGTGAAGAACAAGTTTGTCAAAGCGTAGAAAATGCGAGAGGAAGAAACCCAGAAAGGAGAGCAGACCAGGTAAAATAATCACTTTTAATGTTTCTTAAAGAATGGGCACATTTTTGTTTCTTTGTTTTTTGTTTTAAATAAATTTTTTAAGCTGTATTTTATTTTTCTTTGACCAGTTTTTAATAAAACCGCGTTTCAACACAGTCCCCTGTTTCAATTCAAAGTCATTACCTTTGATTTTCGCAACCCATCCAGATTTTCTCTTCTCTTCTTTTCTTCTCCATATTTGCTCTTGTGCTCCTCATTAATGTCATTAAATCAGATTGATTCACATCAACGACTCAGCTCACTTTTTCCCGGCTTTTCACTTCTCTCTAATTTAACTTTTTCCTCTTTTGGGTTCCTCCTTTTATTGCTAACTTCTTTTTCTTCAAGTGAAAAATCCAACTTATATTTCTTGTTTTCTCTTATATTCCAGTTTTGATTCGGGTTTCAGATTGATTCTCTTGTTTTCTCTTTTCTGGGTCTGGGGTTAAACTTTTGTATTTTCATGTAGGATTTTCTCTGCAACCAAACAGGAAGAGATTGCTGATATGTTAACCAGGTTTTCTCTTATTCTCATTTTGGCCTTTCTCTCGGTTTTTTCTGGAGGTTTAGAAGTAGTCGCAGGAAGCCATGATCACTCCGAAAATCTCAAATCCAATACATCAACTCTTCCGGGCATAGAATTTCCCGACCACATGAGCTTCAATGCGGTTTCCTCTTCACCCCCTAATGATTGCAGCTTCCCATCAACAAAGAAAGTGAAGACGTCGGATAGACAGGAAGAAGACGAGTATCTCAGCGATGATGATGGCGAAAAAGAAGAAGGATATAAGAGAGATAAACATAAGGTGAAGCTTCATCTGAAGCGCCGGTCAACGGGTAAAGAATCAGAGCCTGGAAAATCTGTGGCCGAGTTCAAGGTAAGGGACTTGACAAGAATTCAAACACTCCATACAAGGGTGACAGAGAAGAAGAACCAGAACACCATTTCAAGGTTGAAGAAAACCATGGAGGAATCAAAGAAGAAAAAAAAGAAGATTGAAATGAATGTAGTCCCACCGGCTGCATCGCCGGAGTCGTATTCAACCGGGCTTTCTGGGCAGCTAGTGGCGACTTTAGAATCAGGGGTGAGTCTCGGATCAGGAGAATACTTTATCGATGTGTTTGTGGGTACACCTCCAAAACATTTCTCTTTGATTCTTGACACTGGTAGTGATCTAAACTGGATTCAATGTGTCCCTTGTTACGATTGTTTCGAGCAAAATGGACCTTATTATGATCCTAAAGAGTCTTCTTCTTTCAAGAAGATAACTTGCAATGATCCAAGATGCCAGTTGGTTTCATCCCCTGATCCTCCTCAACCTTGCAAAGCTGAGAACCAAACATGCCCTTATTACTATTGGTATGGAGATAGTTCCAACACTACTGGAGATTTCTCAGTCGAAACCTTCCGTGTTAATCTGAGCAGGGCTGATGGAAGATCAGAATTTAAGCGTGTAGAGAATGTGATGTTCGGTTGTGGTCACTGGAATAGGGGTCTTTTCCATGGAGCTGCAGGTCTATTAGGACTTGGAAGAGGGCCTTTATCATTTTCTTCTCAGCTGCAATCTGTGTACGGTCAATCCTTCTCCTACTGCCTTGTAGACAGAAACAGTGAGAGTAATGTTAGCAGCAAGTTGATATTTGGGGAGGACAAGGATCTTTTGACCCACCCAGATCTAAATTTCACAGCTTTAGTCAATGGTAAACAGAATGCAGTAGATACATTTTACTACCTGCAGATAAAATCAATAAAGGTTGGAGGTGAGATGGTGAACATCCCAGAGGGGACATGGAATTTGTCTGAAGATGGAGGTGGGGGAACAATCATTGATTCAGGAACAACTCTAAGTTACTTTGCAGAACCTGCATATGAGATTATAAAGAAAGAATTTGTGAAGAAAGTGAAAGGGTACAGGGTTATAAAAGATTTCCCATTGTTGGATCCATGTTACAATGTGTCTGGAGTTGAGAAAATGGAGTTGCCTGAATTTGGGATTGTTTTCTCAGATGGAGCAGAGTGGAATTTCCCAGTTGAGAATTACTTTATCTGGCTGGAAGAAGATGTGGTTTGTTTGGCAATTCTGGGGACTCCAAGATCAGCTCTTTCCATAATTGGGAATTATCAGCAGCAGAATTTTCATATATTGTATGATATTAATAACTCCAGGCTGGGATATGCGCCAATGAGCTGTGCTCAGGTTTAACCCCAACCCACCACCACTCATGCCTCACCTGGATATATATATATTTTTTTTACATTTTCGTCTAAAGAACATTTGACATACAAGAAATTCATTTTTTTTATTTATTAAAAGTAAAACATATTCTACGATTGATGTAATAATGATTTTTGTTTATAAGAATATACCAACGTGGATCTATGGAGATGTGTATAAACAGAAATTATGAGAGTAATTTATTTTCCGTGTACAAAATCTACCCAGACAGCCTCAGGCTGCATCATAATGATAGTAATAAATAAATAAAAATGGACTAATTTTTGTGTTGTTTTTGTTGACTGGTTTATAGTTGAAAAATTGAAGCAGCGTGGTGTTGTATTATTTCCGTGTAAGAAATGGTTGTGCTTGCTTAGTTTGACTATTGATTTAATAAATAAATTGGGATAGGAAGTTTGGTCAATAGTTAGGTGTGGCATTGCGGATGCAGCCTACAACATTTAATTACAAGAATTAGAAAAGCTAATGTATTAGGTGTCCTGCACTTTAATTATTTTATTCATCATTTTCTTCCTATTCACACTTCCGGCTTAACACTTCAATATGCAATCGCTTCATTCTTCGTCTTTCCCCCTTTGACTTATAATAGTTATGTTTTCTGTATAATATATTTGGAATAACACATAATATCTACATTTAGATTTACTATGCACCGATTTATCAATATACTGAACACCTAAATATCTCATTATTTTGGGCATTTATTTCCCATTTAAATATGACCCTAACAAGTTCTAAATCGCTGATCATTACACAATTCTGTAAATGTACAACAGTTGCAATTCTGTAATAAAAAGATGAGGATACATATTTCAACTCGTGGTTGAGGTTCAGATTAAAACAAAGGGGACAATAACGCAGTGCCCCCCAGAAAAAGGAAAACTTAAAAGAAAACAAAAGGAACAGAAAATGAAAATATCAAGCAATGCATAGTAAAAAAAAAACAAAAAAAACAAACAAACAAACCATGTGAGGTGAGGGCACGGGGCCGAAGAAGCTGAAACTAGGCTTAACTCACCGGTCAGTGAATTAAAAACTGCAGAGTTGAGATAGGTAGGTCTCAGCTTCAAATCTCCAATGCAATACCGATTTAAACAAAATAAACAGCTTGTAGGATCATTGCCTCAAGAACAGCTACCAGGAAACAAGACCAACTCCAACCTGGAAAAAGAAAAGGTCAAGAGTAGGGGATGCTTGATTAAACCATTGCTGGCGACCATAGTTGGTAGCTTTCAACTTGATCACCTTCCTTACATAATTAGTTGGTAAGCATTTCTTAAGAGTTTAAACTAATAAGTAAAAAACCCAACTTCATTTTTTATATTCCAACAATGACGAAGGCTAGACCCCATGATAACATGAATTTCCGACTCGCAAAATCTACATACTCTAACTGCAAGCCACACCCAAAATGATCATAAGCCAACAAAAACCCATCTTGCTCAAATTTCCGGACTTGGTATTCTATCCTAAATGGTCTCTACCCACCTCTTTCACTGTGGTGTTAACCTCCAAACGCGGATACAAGCATCTTCTCCTGAGCTCACTACAGTTGAGTCATCGGTAAAAGCTAGCCCATAAACTCCACCCAAGTGAGCTCCCTTTATGGTTATTCGGCTAGACGCTGGCTTGTCAATTTCATAAATTATAACACAAGTGTCAAGGGATCCAGTAGCAACCATGGTACTACTTGGAGACCAAGCAAGGCAGTTTATACGTGCTGTGTGGTACAACATGTTCTTCAGCTTAACCTGCAAGAAAGATCAATGCGAAAACTGACTAAGAGACTGAACAATCTGGCAATCAAAAAACAAGATCTGGCATTGTTATGTTAATGAAACAGATATTAAAAATAATGGAATATTATGTCAAAGAAATATGTCTAGGTTACTTGAAATATTAAACATAAAGGAATATTACAGAAGGGAAGTCACTAAAATGTAACCAAAGGGTTACAGATGCGGCAAACTGGAAAGCTATTTATGTAACATGAAATACAAGTTTCAAGGTATTTCTCATCTTAAAAGATTTCTTTTTAGTGTGTTCTCCAGAAAAAAATGTTTTTATTTTACTGAACATACATGCACATAGTGAAATAGATGTTTTTATGCATAAACATGTATATGTAAACTGTATCTCTTTGTGTAGGAATCTGTATATATATATATATATATGTGCATGAACTTTGAAAACTAGAAAATGTTCTTATGTACCAAATGATTCTTTCTTTGAAATCTTCAAAAAGCAAATGGGAGAAATATTTAGATTCAGGGATCTCTAGAAAGGGAAATGATGATGCTCTCTCATCCAAGAAGGATGCAAGATAATGCAGGTCTAGAGGCATTATAACCAGGTTGGACTTTTTCATACTCAATCCAAGCTGCATTTTGCTAATCAAATGCCAGAAACAAAGTGTTTGTTACAGTCAGGGAAATTAGTTAAAAGACCTAGAGGGCAAAATATACCTCTCTGGAGACACGATCCCAGACTATAGCTTCTCGATTTACATCACCTGTTGCAAACATTGAAAAATCTGGAGAATAACGTATGACACTAATAGCACCTTGGTGTTTCTCAAGGACCAACTCCTCCACAAGGGAATCACCCTGGACAGAATATACATGCAATTTACCATCCTGACCGCCAATGATGGCTTCACTTCCATCAGGTGCTATTGCGGATGCTGTTACAGCAAAACCAACATTTATTGTTGAAACTACTTTTGTACCATGAAGCATAACAATTCCCGAATCTGTAGTGACCAAAGCAAGTTCAGGTGAGAGAATGGCAAGGCTTAAGTCTTTTGGTTGACTCCCAACATCAACCGAGTTTGCATCTCCACACTGATCCCCATGAAGAGAAACCCTCCATATCTATTAACAGAAAGAAAACAAAGGCATAAGTCATACAAGCACTTGACAGAACGGTTTATTCAAAAAGTAATTGATCAACAATACTCTAATTTAAAATTTTAAACAAACATAAAAGACTGTTTCAATAAAACAAGTGCGTAAGATAAGGCACTCCATAGCCCCATCCATGCTTTGATGGAGCGACTCCAACATTTGGTCTAAAGAAAAAGGCAAATGAATATCTGCAACATAAGATAATCATCTGGAAAATCAGACTTTCCCAGTGGTGAAAATAAAACTTTCTGAACAAAAAATGTTCTATGTATCACATAATTGCAGATGCAGAAGAATTTAGGTTTTTGGAAATTGACAATGGTTTAACAAATCTTCCAGGGGAACAACTATACTGAATATGATGCAATTTACCAAGAAAGCTGGACTTTGTTTAAGACAATAAAACAAAATTTACTGGATATTTATATCTATGATACACCTATGGACCTCATTTCCATTATATTAAAGATATATCTATTGCATCAATAAATCTCAAATTACAATTTTACTCTCCAACAAAAAAGAGTTACTAGCGGAAACACTATTTTTCTTCATCAATATTATATTAATCTGAGAAAAGAAAATTCATATGAACTGTGCTCCAATTTGAGAAACCACCTGCCATTTTCCGTGAACTTAACCTAGTGTACTAATAAACCTCAATCCTAATTTTATAATCCAGAACAAAAAATATGCCTCCAAAAATAACCTCCCTCTTTATCACGATTATATTAATCCTAGAAAAAAAAATCTAATCAGCTACAAATCCAGATTGAGAAGTCATGATATCATTCTCATGATTTGAAAGGTAGACTCCATAAACTACAATTGTATGCAGCAAGATACTTCAACTATTGTAAGTGTTTCCTTATATTTACCTGCAACAGGTAATCAGTATTGTCATTAAATGTTAAGCCTGCTCTTGGCATAGAAAAGAAATTTTCAATTTTTTTGGCGTGAGAAAAAGTTTTATTCAATCAGAAATTAGAATTTCTTTTAACATGGATACATCCAATAATGGAAAGGCTGCCTCACAATATGTGAAAATTGTGCTTTTTTCAATGATCATAGTGTTCTGATATAATAAGTACGAAGACAATAAGGTCATTGGTATAGATTGTAGTCCTCCTACAAAGGTTGATAGGCAGTAATTAGGCCATTTTTTTAAAAAAAAAGTGGAACAGAAATCATCCAAGTGCTAAAGCATCATAGATATAACCATGCAAATTACCTTATTGTCAAATCCGGATGTAACAATCTCTTCTTCAACAGCAGCAAGACATTTGATTTGAGAATTCTCTTTCCTTTGTAATTTACCACCATAACCAATGCCTTGGATCCATTTAACTATTAGGCCATCATAGCTGCTAGACAGTATAAACCTTGGGTTACTTTTGAGCACAACTAATGAAGTGACATTCTTCATATGTCCAGATAGCTGCAGCGGGGCTTTATCAAGATCACTCGCTGAAAATATACTAATTGTACCCCCAAGAGAAACAGTAACAAGATGATCATTCTGCCAAAGACACCCAACAAGCATGTCATCCAGTCCACCTGAGCCAGGACAGGTCAAAGTTTTCTTCAGCTTTCCATTACTATTTTCAATTTCCCAAACTTTGGCTGACTTGTCAGCAGATACAGTCAGGACCTGGAAAATAATTTATCATGTTCTTGGTGAGCCTAAGAAATTTTATGTATCATAATACATAACAAAGATTATCATTCATTTAAATTACAATTCACTTGTATCTGGCGCTATACTACTACCTAAATTGACAAGGGAAATTTTGAATTTGATGTTTAATTTCCAATTCACAGATAAATATATTATAATAATTTTTGAATTAAAGCATGCATGACTGAAATTTTAATTTCACTACTATTGACAACAAGTCACTTCTAAGGAAAAAAGGCAAGATGTGTGCCTTACAAAGATGGATTGAAATTTATATAATAAAGGAGAGAGAAGGGATGATAGAGAGAGGGGGGGGGAGAGAGGGAGAGGGAGAGGGAGAGGGAGAGAGACAGAGACAGAGATTTTCCTATGATTTGATATTGTCGTGCATGTAATCATGCATAATAAAATCCCTGACATTACGTTGGAATAACAAATCTATAATCAATAGACTCAAGAGAAAAGCAAAACATTGCAAGAAATATCCTTAACTAGCCAAATTCCTTCTCTGGAAAAAAGAAAAACTATAAATTTTCAGCCCACTGTTTCTCATACTGCAAATATCCACTTAGCAATTATAGCATTTTTTTTTAAAATAACTAGCAATTATTGCATTTTATACGTTAGAAAATCGTAAACATCAAAAGCAAACTGAATTTTAAGCCAGATGCTCACCTAACACTTATAATACCATTTTCGCTAAATTTCGTTCTTGAATCCATGGTATTAAATTAGACACATCCCAATGCATCTTTTAAAGAAGAAAATCAACTTTAAAATACCTGTTTACTGTCAGGACTCCAGCTGACAGCATAAATGCTGCCTTTATGGCCATCATCAGAAGACAGCTCTCCAATCTTCTCTCCAGTCTTCCCATCATATACTATACCTTTTTTATCAGAACTGACACTGATAAATTTGCTGCCATCAGGAGAAAACCTTACGCAATTGACAAAATTTGAATGATCTCTGAAAAGAAAACGAATAAAACATATTTATGTTAAAATATAAAAATAAAGCAAAAACATGGAAGTGTTATGACCAGATCCAAATTATATGAAAGATTTTGAAAGCATGTAATAGAGTGAACTTAGTAAAGGATCATCATCAGACATAATTCATCTAACACTCTTGATGCGGATTCCCCATTCACTCCTTTCAACATCACCGGTCATGAGCATAGCACGTGAATTAACAAAAACTCGACATAAATTTAAATGATGGAATGAAGAAACAAAGAAAATCATATTACAGCTTCCAAGTTATGCATCAAGCTTACAGTTTATGCATATTGAGAACATGAAAAGAAATAGATCAATAAAAGTGTCACATAAAGCACTTGAAGATAGATTTGCATAAGACAAGTAGGAGATAGTGCTGAACAAAAACAATGTAACGTCTTGCACATGCATCTAACACACGGATAGATGTGTTTAAAATTCTTATTCAGTTGTTCAGGGTTGACAGTGTCTTCAACACACCATCGAATTTACCAAAAAATGACTCAAGGGTAGAAAATGACCACCGAATCTCCATTTCCTTTTCTATGCAATCTTACAAAGAGAAAAGATGTGAATTGCATTGACTATGGAAATAAGTCACGCCAATGATTTATTATTACCAACCTATGAGACAACTTGAATTTGAAGGGTGGTCCTTCATAGAAATTGACCAGAAAGTCCTCTCCACATGTCACAATCCGGAATGGTCTAGTTGGCTTAAAAGCACAGCTCAGAACACGTCTTGAGTGACCATCAAATTCCCCGACATTCGTTCCTGAATCCCACCTATTTGAGATAATATTTCATCAGCATTAATGTAACGAATAATGACAAACAGACACTCCTAGCAACAGGAATGAGACCAGCTTCAAGCATTCGTGAAGCTACAATCCAGTTCTGGAAAAACTAAAGTTGAAAGTTCAGAGAACCGATAGATAAGAGTTGATGATCGGGAGTTAAATATAGACATAATCAATTTTGCCTTTGCTTTTAGAAACCAATAGAAGCTCACGATCAAGTAGTTTATATCCTCAGTTAATTTCTCTGTAAAAGCCAACCATAGCAGTAAAGAAGACAATAAAATAGAAAACTGATTAAGAGTACACTTCCTTTCACTTTTGCCGGGGTTTCCGAACAACCAAACGCATAAACAATCGGTTGATAACAACAAAAGGAATAGAAATAAGAAAAGCCGTGCTTACATGAAGGCTCGGACAAACGATTTTCCTTTACCGTCACCGGACGCCACGATCCGCATGCCATCAGGTGACCACTGGAGGTCGTCGATCCGACCTGACAGAACCTTAAACTCCTTCTTCAATACGTGGTCGTTGCGGGCCCCCCAGATCCGAACCGTGCCGGAGGCATCAGCTGATGCGATCCACTCGCCGTTGGGGGAATAGCGAGCGACGGTGGCAGGGTAAGCGTGCTCACCATAAACCGAGACGTTAAGAGGATTGTTGAGGTCGAGCATGAGGACTGATCGGCCATTGGTATAGAGAATGGTATCGGATTTTGGATCGCCCGAAATCAGGATTCCCCGTCCCCGTTCAGTGGAGGGAACGCAAGCGTATGTCTCGCCGAGATCCGGCATTGAAAATATCTGCTGCGGACGGAATGGAGCTCGGTTCCCGAGTCAATGAGCTATTGAAAAGGAAGAAATGGGGTTTATGAAAGAGCCACGGTTTTATGGAAGCGCTGCCTGTAAGTGCAGTGCACGAAGTGAAAGGAGTGGGGCCTGCTGAGGTATACAGGTATGATTATTGTTATCCCTTTTTTCTGGGAGAGAAGTATCATAAAATTAAATAAATTTTTCTCCAATTATTTTGTTTATCTTAATTAAAAAATATGTATATATTATTATAAAATTAAAAATACAAGTAAAATTAATTCAACTATGTATTAGATACATAAGTGATAGTTAAATTCCAAATATTAAACTTAAAATAATTAAATTATACATATTAAATATTAAATATTAAAAGTATATAAAAGCAGAATAATATTAAACCAAATTATACATACTAAATAATTTAAACCGGCCATGTATTGATCATCTTCCTCAGCGTAAAAGCCAGCCAGGAGACCTGTGTTTGATGCTCCCTCAGCAAGTTTCAACAGCAGCATCTACTTCTGACTTACTGGAGTGCTTCAAAGGTGACTTTCTTCTTCCGGGCGAATTTCTCTAACCCTAATCTGGAAATCAATTTGAGGTTTGAGTGTCCGGAAATGGAGCTGTACTTCTTTGACAGACTCGTAGCCACTCAAACCTTTCTCTCAAAGAAGGTGACAAACCAGATTGGAATCACTACAATTCATGTCAAGATTGGTCTCGTTACCACAGAAATCTACCTACGGGACTTGGAAAGAAACAACAGAATTAAGCAAAACATAAAGCGTACCTTTAAATTGGAAACGAGTCCGGGTATTGATCCATTTATTCCACCTGGTTGCATAAGAGAGGCCAGTTAGAGATTACCGGTTCACCAACTGCTGTTCTAGTTGCTCATATTACAGAACAAAGAGATGAAGAAAGAAATGGAGTAGGCTTGCTTGGCTACTTCAATTTGGCTGCCTCTATTTCAATTCAAATCAGCTCTGATGTAAAAAGCATTCTCATAAGCTCCAGAGGAGAAAAGACAATCTAAAAGAATATATTTTTTAAGGTTAATGGCTTTATGGGTTCAAGAGAAAAGGAAACAAGGGAAAGGAAAGAAAACAGGTTTTAAATAAACCTAAATATCATTGTCTTTTCTCTTTTGCATAAACATGGAAATCACATATGCTCTTTCTGATGAAGCCCTTACAAGTTCAATAATAGCATCAATTGGAAAACCAGTAGAGAAAGTAGCAGAATTAATTGAAAAGAAAGTTAGTGTTAGAAAAAGAATCTTCATTTTATTCTACACAAACTGCCAGATAAGTTATACATTGCTGCATACTGAAAGTACATAAGCAAGTATGAATCTGATTAAAGAAATGAAAGTTCGAGTATCTAATTGGAGATCTTGTATCAGGACCGCATTTTGAGCATATGATGTGAAGTCCATAAACTATAAATTTACAAAGCAGTCCAGAATTATCTTATCCATCAATAATAAATACAAAATAAGAGAGCATCTAAATTGACACATGAAAGGACCTTTCTTCTGTTTAGAGAAGACAAGTCACAGGCTTTGCCGGAAGCAGAATTACTACTAAATTTTGAAGTACGCAAGCATTCTGTTGGAAGCTAAAAGTGTTCAAATTTACCATAACAGATATGTCGGGTTGATTATTACCCACCTGGTCAATGTGTTCATAATACAGATAAATGATAATGAATGTGTTCACAATACAAATACATGATAATGACATCTCAGTGTAATCCAAAGCATATAAAACTCTTTGATGAGTAACATAAAATGGATTTATAAATAGAAAATACAGAGAATTGGCAACAAGTTCTTCACACCCAAGATTCTGGTACAATGTTGCAGACAAGATCCCATAATTTTTTTTTGGTGGAAGATAAAGAACAACAAGATAGAGTACCACCTATGTTATACAAAACTTTAAAACTTGAAAAATTAGGGATGTTTTTACACAGTTTACCCTATGAATATAATACAGTTCAGGCAAGAATAAATTCCCTAATTATTACCTATGGCATTATTGTGAACTCCACAAAAATTATCAATACCAGAAAACTAGAACCGAGCAGAAGTCACCATAGTATCTCCTTACTAGAATATATGAAGTTATATTATGTTAAAAATTTGGGGAATAATGACCATTATCCTCAAATCTGCCTCAAGTATCTCACAAACTTCGGAGTAAATAGTTGAAAAATAAGAACAGCTGATTTTATTTTATCCACCTTACCTAATAATCATTTCCATTATTTCTTTTCCAATATCAACCTTCTTGCATAAGTTCTACTCCTCTTAAATTCAATCCCACTTTTACCCCATCTTATGCTCTCCTTATGTCTCAAACATTATTCAAACCTACCATGAAAATAATCGGATTAGCATGCCACTTCTAGATAACCAACAAGCTATTTTTAATTATCCCAAATAACCTGGATGATGAAAGATTAAAGCAAACAATCCTGACTCTGAAAATAAGCGCCATCCAACCAGAGCTTTATTAATGAATGACGACAAATTTTTTTTTCCACCTAGTAATCCATAAACAGTCATAAATCATTTTATATTAGGTGAGCAGGAAAGAGATTCCAACTGTGGATTACAGGGAACTTCCTGTTCTTGAACATGATAGGTAGAAAGCAAATCCAACGCCATTCTCTAAACAAAGACATGGGAATTTAAGTCACAGCAAACAAGGTGCAAAATAACTTTACACCTAAATCCTCATATATGCAGTTAATTCAATTCTAAAGACCCAGTGGCATTTGACCCATTTCGCATCATAAAATCGAAGACTCAACTGTTCAAGATTCCACACTTTCCCAAACAATTGGAAATCCCCTTATGAATCTAAAACAGAAAATTTATGAGAAACTCATCTTGATTGAATCATAGAAAAAAAAGACATATAATGCAAAAACAAAACTAGTCTCTTCATCTTGCACCGACCTCAGATGGTGTCTTTGCAACAATGGACAATGCGTGAAGTCCAGTCTGCAACTCGGCTTGCAACAGGTCATAAACCAACCTGTGCCTCTTCACCAAACTCTTCCCTTCGAAAGCTTTAGAGACAACTCTCACATTGAAATGGGTCTCTCCATAACTGCCTCTCACACCAGCTTGTCCTGCGTGTTGATATGATACATCCTCCACCTGCAACTCAACAGGGCTGAGCTCCTTCTCCAACTTCTCCCTAATCCTCGTCCCTCTACTCCCTAAGGCACCCGAGTTCGACCCATTTGCATTACTCCACAAATTCGGACTTGTAACTCGGTTTTCACTCTCTGAACTTTCTACCGGATTTTCACTCAATCCAGAACTCAAGTTCACCACACCACCATCTTCTCTCCCCGCCGGATTTGAGCTCGCAAGGGATCCTTCGCCTTTCTCAGCTTCCATTGACAACTCAAGAGCCTTCTTCTGCATCAGTCTCAACATGTTCAAGAACCCGTTGTTCCTCGAAGGCGTCAAGCTCTGCTGCAACCCGAGGAGCACGATGAAATCCGGGGAGACCTGCAAAACTTCCTGGACGGACCTCCCAGATAGCCCTTGAACTAGCAGAGCGGCGAGTCCCTTGGTAAGAAGCGAGTCCTAATCGGCTTCATAGAGAACGTCCTTGTCTTCATCGAGATAAGCTCTGACCCAGACCTGGGAAACGCAACCATCGACCTTGTTTTCCCTCGTTTTGAATTGGGTATCAAGTGGCTTCAAGTTCTTCCCGTAGAACAAGAGCTGCTCGTACTTGGCCTTTGGTTCTTGCACGGACTGGAAAAGCTTGATGAGTTCTCGGAGCCTAGGAGGTAGCTCTTCGACTGGTTGCAGGTCCATGGAGCTTGATGCTGACACAGATACCGATAATGTCGAGGTGTTTCTAGTAGAGATCCTTCCGAAGGTAATTGGTTTGTAAAAGAAATGTAAATTCGTTGTGGGTTTTGTTGGCGCGATTAGAGATTTTGTTTGGTGGAAAGGGGCGAATGATTGTAGTGAAGAAGAAGAAGCCATGGCGTCCATACTGGGGCAGATGACTCGAGAGAGAAGTGCTTTTTTTGTTTCTTTTGAGAAATAGCGTCAAGAGAGAAGTGCTTTTGATGGTCAAGAGAAGAGCTTTTTTTTTCTCCTCTCCTCAAGGAACGCACCGTTTTGTGTTAGTCTCGTACTTTTTTTGTTTTTATTTTTTATTTTCTCTCAATAGCTAAACCACACATTTCGCACTTCTTGTGCCAGAATAATTTTAAGAAATTATTTCGAAAATAGAAAAAAAAAAACCAGGGAAAAAAGGGTCAAAACTTGTTAGAATTAATTGATTAGTTTAAATAACATTAATCAACTAATCAATTCTAAATAGGATGATTAGTAAGAGTTTAGTCTAAAACGTAATCAAACAGAAACTAATTAATAATTATCTAACCAAATAATTTTCCATTAAACATCATATTGCTCTTATTAGTCTATAGTTTATAACTTAATGAACTCATCCAAAATTACCATTTTCTGAAGTGTTTTATTCATACAACTAGTAAGAATTTAAATTATTATTTTTAAATATATATTTTTACTAAATACTGAAATTTTATTCAAATTAAATTTATTTATAAAATTAATTGAAGGAGAACATTATAAATAAGTAGTTAAAGTAAAATAATATATAAGCATGGCAATTTTATTAAATTATTATTACATTTTAGTCTAAACTATAATTTATTTAAACGAGTAATTAATACTTTTTTTATAATAAATTATAAATTTGAGCGGAATTATCTTTTACATGTACTAAATTTTAATATTAATTATTTATGTATATTATATAATTAATATATAAATTTATTCAAAAGTATTAATTTACAATAGTTGGTATAATTTCAAAAAGTAAATAGCAAATTATCAAATTACATATATATATATATATATATATATATATTAGTAATCGGTCGACTGTTTTTACATTAAGATAAATAGCTTTTACAGGTCCAAAACCAAGCAGCTGCCAGCCAAGGTGTAATTCTAGTCCACAAGCGGTGGCAAAAATGGCCAGCTCTGTGTAGAAAACCCAACAAAACCAGCAGAAGCAAAATGGGTCCACAAGCTAACTGGATTTCAGCGTCGTCTTCTTCCTTGAGCTCTTGGGTCTCTGTAAATTCATCCCATTCCCAACTATCGCCACTACCATCTTCACACTCAACCATCAGGCCCTCGGTATTCCCTTGCAAAACTCCTAGCCATGCTCATGCCTCCAACATCAGACAATCCCCTCTCCATTGTACTTTTACCCAGAATCGCTTCAGAGCAAAAACTAGAGCTTCCCTTGATGAAGAAGACCAGGTTGCGCCATCTCCAGTTGTTGTCCGAGACCGAGGAGAACCTAGCAGAGTATACGCCCATGCCATTACTTGCCCTAGTTTCTGCTTTAACTTTTATTTGAGACTGGTTTCTTGCTCTTTCTTTTGGTACAGAACCGTTCAATAAGATTCCAAAATTATTCACTTCCCTTTCGGCTTCCTCAATTTTGTTAGCATTACGTGTTGTTAATGTGTTATAGGAAGTTGAGGAGTGTGTGAAATTGCTGAAAACTGCTGCGAAAACTAGAAAAGTGTCTGTTGACGAGATTCTGTCTGCTCTGTCGGTGATTGAGAAGACTAAACTTGATACTTCTGATTTTCTTAACACGCTTGGGGGAGGAGAATCGCCTGGAAGAACCTGGATGCTCATTTTTACTGCCGAGGTTTCATTGTTTCAAGCTTTTTTCCTTTTCTTTTTCTATCCTCCTCTGTGTGCTTGTTCATTGTGAACTTTTCCCTTATTGATTATTTGTTGACATTGCAGAAGAAATTGAAGGGTGGTCGATATTTCCCTCTCACAGCTGTTCAGAGGTTTGATGCTGCTGTAAGCCCTTTCTCTCTTTTTTCATGATCAAGTTTCTGCTGCTTAAGGTGGAAAAGAAGGAAATGATAAAGAATGTTGAATTTGCTTTTTTTTTTCTTCTCATTTGCTATTTGCTTTTAGATTTATGTCTATGGCTGCAAGAATTTTATACAGTTTGATTTGAGTAATAAATGCAGAGCTCAACCTCGAATTGGTGATTCATGATTTTATAAGCCTCTTCTAGGAAAATAGTAAAAAACCCTGTAAGATATTATTTCTGCATGTGTTCTTGAACCTATATAGAAATTTAACAAAATGATTTTAGCATAATATAGTACCTTATAAAAGGAAGGTTTATAGTTACGATTTCTTTCATATTCATACTTTTGCATATCTTGTTCGCTCGTGATTGTCTTGACTCGTTCTCTCACTCTCAGCCCCTATTCGTGATCGAGTAGAGTTAGAGTCGCATTCTTGTTTGCAAGGATAGCTTATATTGGTAGATAAAAGAAGAGGCAATAGTGGCTTGTATTGTTTTTCAAGATTGGAAGGGTGATAATTTTTTCCTTGAATCTCAGGCAAAGAGGATAGAGAATGGAGTATATCTTGGGCCAATTGGATCCTTGACATTTGAAGGAAGATTTTCATGGAAAAATAGAATACTGGCTTTCATCTTTGAGTGCATTCGCATTAAAATTGGTCCTTTGAACCCTTTCGAGATAAGCCTAGGACAGAATCAAGATAGAGAGCCAAACACGAAAGATCCTTTTTTTATATGGTTTTATATTGATGAGGAGATAGCTGTTGCTAGAGGAAGAAGTGGGGGGACAGCATTTTGGTGCCGGTGTCGCCGTGTGAGTGCAACTTGATTCTTATTGATGTATTTCTGTATTGCTGTACAGTAACAGCTGGTAAATATCCATCTGCGACGTATGTTTAAGGATTCTTTGTATGCTTCAAAATTCAAATGGATCTCAAATGTAATGTATTCCTCCATTAAGTTCTGTTTATTTCTGTAACTGGGGCTGTTACACAGTGTCTTTTTTTTTTTTAAATAGTTACATAACTGACATTTGCATATGCTTGGCCGTGACCTACCCGCATAGAAAGAAAAGGAGATTGTCCGTTACAGAGGATTAAAGATTGTGTTACAGAAACAGCAGCTGGTCTTTTGGTATATGGAGTCTACAATGGTATAAATTTCTGGTAATTATCACATAAGAACTCAGTTTTTACAATTTTGAATAGATCAATCCTTTTTATCTTAGTTCAAGCATTTATTTTCGGCTTTGTATGTTATCATTTTTCCCTTAAGGGAAAATGTAGAGAGAGGGATGCTGTCAGAATACTTACTCATGGCTTTGATCTGCAAAAAAAGAAAGAGATAACAGAGGAAGGGAGAGATTGATTTGCTTTGAGGTAAATAGATTTTCAATGCCTTTATTCATAGAAACTTTTGACTATTTATAGGCTACAAATGGCAGGAAAAATGAGCGGGAACCTCCAGGCGTTCATGGAGGTTGTAACAACCGAATGGTCGGTGTGTAGGTGCCCTTGTCAAATGGTTTTCTGTTTCACCGTTTGAAACCCTACCCTTAATTGGTTATTTTGGAAAAGTCTATTTTGAATAATTTTCCTTTGTATTCATTCTTCGGTAGTACACTACCAGAGGCTTCAGTGGCTTCTTTGCAGATGCCTTTGGAGTTTAGACATTCTGTGAAATTGTTTTGTTCGTAAGGCTCCACATAATGCAAAAAGATGCTTCATTCTATTGAATGCACAAAATCGGTTTTCTCCTTGTTGCCTTATTAGATAAAAGTGATGCAAAGCACGCATGGTGAACTAGTGCCTACTTTCCTTGAAAGGAAAAAACTCTTGTTCATCTTGTTCTTTACTTCCTTGATACCAAATCTTACCATTATATTTGTAAATCTTGCTTGGTATAGCAGAAATTATTGTGTCTTATACATTCTCTTTTCAGGAATTCCTTCACGACAGGGGACTTTCAAGGTATCTTCTTTGCCCTTACCTTTTTGCTAGAATTACGAAAGCTTTCTGATTTATGCGATTGATACTTTTAAGTTTGCATCACAAGTTTCTGATGAAGATTTGAACAAACCAATTAGACTTATGGAGTTTCTTAAACTTATTTATACTCCTAAAGTACCTAATAAATGTTCTTTAAAAGTATGGTAAAATTTTCTACGGAACGTTGTAAAAAGTTTATTTTGTGTTGGCTGCTAAGGGACGCCTGTAGTTCACACTAGCAGTGAAGTAGTTGATAAAATTCTTTCGTAATGACGAGCCAATAAGGCATCCAACTAATTGCAGTTAAAATATAAATTTAGTTCCTGTATTATTTATTTTTGTTCAATTTAATTATTACTTTGATTTTATGTCAAATTAAATTCTTATATTTTTGAAATTTTTTTAATTTAATTATTTTTTGTTATTAATTATAAATATTATTAATTTAGGTATGAGTTAAATGTCACATCAGATGACATGTGGCATTTCATGTGATATCAAAGAATTTGCATGTAAACTAGTTTAGGTTGGTCCCCAAATTAAAAAAAAAAAAAAAACAATTGAAATCCTTAATTTTCTCAAATTCCCAAAAACATGTCATTCCCCTTCTTCTTCTTCTCTTTGTTCTTTCTCAATTTTGTTGTCGGTTTTGCAATTAACATTTGGTATTCGGTAATCTTTTATGTTTTGCTTGTTGGATTCTTGTTGTTTCAAGACGAGAATCTCATGAAAATGTATCGAAAAGATTTTCAAAGTTGATTTCAAATTTTTTTTCATGGTTCTTAGTAGAGATCAGACAATTGATATCAAATGTTAGTCTCAAACATAGAAAAACAAATCACCATTGTTGCAATCACTATGTTCTTTGGTTTCGATGAGGACTCGCTCCTCATCAAGCTTTTTCGATAGAGGAATCGCTGCCAACCACCAGTGATAACCAAGGAGACATTAAATTATCATCCTTAGTTTTTTAACACTTTAAAATTCATCTCTTTAATGTCATACGAGTTCGATTTATTGAGTCTGATCGTGAAAAAAAAAAAAGATTAGATGTTTTTTTATATTAAAGTGCTTGACTGTCGCGATTATGACCAAATTGAAGGCGTCGCTGTGTGGATGAATTTCAAGGTAGCCAAGCTAAAAGGCCTCAAGGTCAAGCTTCAAGATAGAATAGAAGGGCGTAAAGGGACACTAGTGGTGGCTGCGAAAGTGTACAAAATGATGTTGGAGGTTGTCGTCAGGGAGGATTAGACAACACACGATGACTAGTGGCGTAAACCTGTAATAAAAATAAGGGGTTAGGTGGGAGGAAGAAGAAGGGTAGGGGACATGTTTTCGGTTTAAATTATTTTATATACAAATTAAATATTAATCAAATACATACAGAAATTAAATAAAAAAAATAAATAGTATATAAACTAAATTTTAAATTTAGCTAACCAAATACTATATCTAAATGCTCTATTAAGAAATTCTTTCATTCAATCTTCTTCTCTTAGAAATGCCAAAGTCTTATAAATAAAAATTTTGTTTATAGAAGGAATAATACACTTTGTTGATATGCAAAATAAGGATAGTTCCATGTAATCCTATATAAGCTTCCTTCATCTATGGAGCTGCTCGAGTGTGTTTGAGCTTTCTATTAAATAATGAGAGTTATAATTATTTTTTTTTAGAGTTAGTAAGAAAAGTAAGAGTTCAAAATTAAGATCTTAGAATTTTTTAATTTTAAATAAAAAAAATCTCTCATTTTATTATTCATTATATCATATTGATCATTTAAAAGGACATTATGGTAAATAAAAATAAAAATAAAATTGGTAATTTTTTAATTTTGAAATCATATATTATAAAAAATCATCGAACATGTATATAAATTAATAAAGTTTGATACTTGGTTGATGTAGAATAGCATTTCCTAACATACTATGGTGTATATATATATATATATAGTTAAATAGGAAGCATTGTAATAATTCTATCATTATTGTTAAATTGAATTAGCCAAAATGTCTAATGGTAAAGTGCAAAGCATGCAATACTTTTTTTTTTTGTATTTAAAAAAAGAATGCAATTAGTTATAAAGTAAAAGTGTTATAATAGTTCAGATTAAAAAAGTATAGTTATTTTTTTTTTTTTAAAAATATTATATTAAGCTTCAAAAGTTTCTCTAATTTGTTCATAAATTTTAAATTTAAATTTAAATTTCTTTGAGATATAGCTTTAATGAAAAACATTAATTTGTCACATCATAAAAGTGATAAACAAATTATTCCAAAAAAAAAATTATATAAATTTATGTGTTAACGCTGTCTTGTATTGAAATTATTTTCTAATATTAGATGAATTAATTAAAAAAATTTAAGTATAGTTTATTGAGAATTAATATCTTATTGAAATTAATATATTAATCATATAAATAATATACAAAATAATTAAAAATAAAATTATAGAAGTTTAAATTAGTAAGTAGTTACAAAATAAAAAAAAATTTATATATTATGAAAATTCAACAAACAAACCGTCACGTTTTAAAATATTTAATTTAAAAATTCGTAAAAATAATTTAGATAAAAAGTTATTAAAAATAAATTTCACGTTATTACGGATATGCCCCTCTCTTAAACGTTATTATCTATAGTCTGTTGAAGGTTGCTGTACTTTACTCTCTTCACCGCACCTCACTCACGCTCCCTCTACTCCCCATCTCCTTCTTCTCCAAACGATCAACCATAGCTATCACCGATTCCCTTTTCCGTTTCCAGTCTCCGATGGCTATATCCTATCAGCTTGCTCCGTAACCCAATGCTCATCTCAAAACCCTAACTTTATCTCGGATTTTCCCGAGAAATTCTCACAGACCTGACTCCGAACTTAATTATTCATCGTCCGCCAAACACTTGCCCAACACGCAGGGCAATCAACAATGCCCGAGGCCGACCAAGAAAAGAAGGTTGCTGATAGGTACCTGAAACGTGAAGTCCTCGGTGAAGGTACCTATGGAGTCGTCTACAAGGCCATCGATACTAAGGTCAGCCTAAACTTTGTACGTCATTTATGTGTAACTAGGGTTGGATAGAGGAAATTTTTCTATGTGGTTTCAAATGGTTTTTTGTCATCTTTTTTGGTTTGTGAGAGACATGAGCGAAGGGAAATTGGGGGTTATATCTGACAGTTTAGTTGCCAAGAAAGTTAAAGAAAAGGAAGAGAAGAATCCGGTGCTTGGTAGAGGAGGCAAATGGGAGTTTTGTTGTTTGTGTGTCTGTTTAAGCAAGCTAGAGCTAGATGAAAAGAACATAGCTTCAGGAACGACATTTCTTTTCCAATGGATATTTGACTGCTGAATTCATCTTCTTGATTTTTGGAATTGCCTGTAATGAATTCTTTCTATTGTAATGTTGAACTATATATTTGTTTTTGTTGATTATACATTCGTTCATATATTAGTATTTATAGAGAATGGTTTTGTGTATCGTGTACCATAATTTTATATTTTTGTTTCATGTGTACAGACTAGACAGGTAGTAGCAATTAAGAAAATACGGCTGGGGAAGCAAAAGGAAGGGGTGAATTTCACAGCACTTAGAGAAATTAAGCTGCTTAAAGAGCTTAAACATCCATATATAATTGAGTTGATTGATGCATTTCCTCACAAGGGAAACTTGCACCTTGTATTTGAGTTCATGGAGACTGATCTTGAAGCAGTTATTCGAGATACAAACATATTCCTTTCACCAGCTGACATAAAATCATACCTTCAGATGACACTCAAAGGACTTGCTTTCTGCCACAAGAAGTGGGTTTTACATAGGTATCACATTGTTCTGAGAAGCTAATCTCATGTTACTGCTGCTGGAATTTATCTCAGATGTGTTCTTCTTGTGCTTTCCAGGGATATGAAGCCAAATAATTTGTTAATAGGACCTAACGGACAACTTAAACTTGCAGATTTTGGGTTAGCACGTATATTCGGGAGCCCAGATCGTAAGTTTACTCACCAGGTAAACCTCTTCAACACTGCTATTGGTCCTTTTATGCCTATAAGTTGACCCTTAGAATTTTGGAGTTAGCTGCTTTTCCTTTTTATGCATAAAAGTGATGAGATTAATTGTAGTCTTTGGTTTGGAATAGCTTGGGGGATTGCATCCATGATCAATCTTCAAAGCCAATAAATTACATGTTTTTGCCTGTTGCTAGTCCTGTGTGGTTCATTTTAAAGAAGGGAAGAGTCTAGAACTGCAATGTCCTTTTGGTCATTTGAAGTTCAAAATGATTTACATGTATTTTTGATCTGGTGAGTGATGTTAGCGCTTGAAAGTGCTTAGGTTTTTAGAACTTACAGATAGTAGCAAGTCTAACAACTGGTCTCTTTTTTACCCTGCATTGCATTATTGTTGATGTTTATGTCACTGAGCTCGGATGTTATGGTTGATAGAAAAAGCTTTTGTTTTAGAATGATAAGGAGGTAATTAAACGGATTCTGAGTTATCTTACCATCTACTGTATTGTTCTTACAGTTTGGACTATCTGGTAGCCACCAACTTTCTTTTGGCTTCTATCGTTTTGAGGATTAGGTTTCCCGTTAGCTCCAGTGATTCTCGTGCACTTTCTCATTTCCTACTAATAAGAATCTATGCACAGGTATTTGCTCGATGGTACAGAGCACCTGAGTTGTTGTTTGGCACCAAACAATACGGTGCTGCTGTGGATGTTTGGGCTGCAGCTTGTATATTTGCTGAACTCCTACTCCGTAGACCTTTTCTCCAGGTGAATCCATGTTGTTATGATTACTGACTCTGTTGGCTAGGAAATACATGGTCTAATATTAATGTTGTCGTTTGTTATTTTCAATCACATTGTCTTTACAAATTTGCTTGTTTATATTCTTGCCCTGTTCTGTATTATTGCATTGTCTCATTGTGGACTGCTTCATGCTGATTGTCAGTTCTCAATATCAAATTATGCTACTCAAACTGGACAGGTAAATGCACTTTCAAACCTAAGCAAATTCAAACAAAAAAATTTATAATCTTGGACAAATAAATGAAGTACATCAGGAATTCTTCCAAACTGACCTCTATAAAATGTGGGCGATGGTTGTTAGTGGAATAGTGGTGAGAGCTTGTAGCAACAGGATGTCTTTTGGTTCATCAGAAAGTCTTTTTGATTCTCACAAGTTTTTCTTGTTTTACTTAGACTGTGATTAATCATCATTCACTATGAATAGAAAATCGAAAATTGCAATTGATGGCTTCTTTGATATAGATTTTGTCCCAAACTCATAAGTGTTGGTGTCTCTGCATTATGTTTTCCCATGCTGGTTTGGGCTCTCATTCCTCACTAACTAATGTAACTGCATCTTTTCATAATGTTCGTTATGGTTATTACCTTTTGGGTTGGATTTGTATTACCTTTCTATTTTCTAGTCATCGATAACCAGATTGATGGGAAATATACCATATAATCTTTTGGTTGAACATGTCAACTCGTAATTTGGCTATGTGTTCAGACTGATGTTTGTTTTTGATTGCATGACCCTTCTTGTTTAAATGCTATCTTCTTTTTCTGGCTTGGGAGGTTTGTACACCCCTGTAGTATTTGAAACCAAGCACCGAAAAATTGCTGGATATTTATGACACTGGCTGCTTTCTTCGGTCAGTTAAATGTTATCTGCATAGTCATTTTGATATTTGCTCCTATGAACTCATTGGATTTCTTTTTGGTTGACAGGGAAGTAGTGATATTGATCAGTTAGGAAAGATCTTTGCAGCCTTTGGGACTCCAAGGTGTTCCCAGTGGCCTGATATGGTCTACCTTCCTGATTATGTAGAATATCAATATGTTCCTGCACCCTCTTTGCGTTCATTCTTCCCAATGGCTAGTGATGATGCTCTGGATCTGTTGTCAAAGATGTTTACTTATGATCCAAAAGCTAGAATTTCTGTGCAGCAAGCACTAGAGCACCGGTATATGGAAGCTTTTAATTGGGAAACTATGAAATGACTTCACCTCTCTCATTCCTGTTCTCTTATCCAGGTATTTTTCATCTGCGCCTCTACCCACAGATCCAGCTAAGCTCCCTAGACCTGCCCCAAAAAGGGAATCTAGAGTTTCAGAATACAATCCCAAGGAAGGTCCTACTGTATTATCACCTCCTAGGAAGTCAAGAAGAGTGATGCCAAATCGTGAGGGGTCTGCTGTTAATGTGCCCCAAATCGATAAAATCAGCCAGCGTGGTAATGAACAGGTGCCAATGTCCGTAGATTTTTCAGTATTTGCATCAGGACCTCCAGATAGGCCTATGATTAGCAGGTAAATTTGCATGAATTATGTAGTCCTATGTAGTTATTTTGGAAAGCAATTTAAGATTGTACAGTTAGATTGGTCTGAATGGGAAGCAAAAATATCAGATTGTGAACAAGTATTGTTCTATAGTGACTATGTCTTAGACAAACTTAAAAAGCATTTAGTTCAAACATAGAACGTAGGTTGAATTTGATAAAAATGGAGGTTACGGAGAGGAGACTTTTAAAATATCAATTGTGGGCATATTCTTATCAGTAAATTTAGTACATAGCCAGTGAACCTGTTGTAATCAAAAACAGCTTTTGGTTATATCTTGTGGGCCCTCATGGTTAGTTTTTCACCATCACCACTTCTCAGGTGATGAATAGCTGTCTATATTAGAGTTTCTATATGGTTGAAATGAAGCAAGGAAGTGGTATACCTTGTTGGTACTTATGGTTAGTTGTTCACGATCACCACTTCTTAGGTGGCAAGGAGCTGTCTATATTAGAGTTTCTATGTAGGTGAAATGAAGCAAGGAATTGGTATAGTATTCATATTATCTTGCAAGAGATTGATCAACTTCTTTACTTTATCAGCTGTATTTATTGAAGAGTTTAGCATTGCCTTTATACCATAACAACAAAGTTTCCACTTTTATCTATGCAGTTGACTCATTCATTATCTTACCTTGCAGTGCTGACAGATCTCATCTAAAACGGAAATTAGATCTTGAATTCTAATATATGGAAGAATAAGAAACTATATCATTATATCCGTGAAGATTGGATATATTTCTCCTGCGGAAGTATGTTGGGTAGGTAACACATGAATGACATTTAGAGTGAGCATTTGAAGTTTGTTTCAATTACCTGGTGGTCTCTGTTGCATTTCCATATTCGGTGTATTTACTACTTTGGGATTGTGAGGAAGAATTGGTGAAGTTCAGATCATATTTTACTGAATTGAAGTTGGGGCTGGCTGGAAATAAATTTCTGGAAGAGAAGTAGACATGGGAAAAACAACTCCTTATTGCATTTTAAGAGAATATGTACCCAAGTCCACGGAAAGAAAAGTTTTGAGCATTGGTCTTTTCTCCTTGTCCATTTTTAGTGGAACTTTTTTTGCGAATTAGAAAAAGAAGAAATGAAAATTGATGTTTTAGACTAGAGCAGTGCTGTGAGTAAATTTGTTTACCAGTCTAGAAAAGAAATGAATTACTAATATTTTGGTTATTAATTACTGGGAAAACTATTCTCATATTGTATTAACTGTATAATGATAGCATGCTGTGTGGAAAAATTGAATGGGAAATCCTTTGATTTTTCATGTTGAACTTCAATGACATAATGGGTACTGAAATTTGATTTCGTAGTGCATTCTAAGTTTCTTGATAATTTAGTAATTTGCATTTGAAAGTTTAATTAATTTGCATTGATATTTTAGTTACTTGCATTTGTAGGAAAATTAATTTTTTTTTAAATAATTAATGTTTAACAGTTTAAACATAACAGCTTGTAATTTTTCTCTGCTTTTTCTTTTACTTAAAGATTCTTAAGATACATTCTCACAAGAAAAAATTACAATAAGAAATCAAAAGCCAGTGAATCATGTAAAATTAGTTTGATCTTTTGTATTTTTGCTTTTTGACTAGTTTGATTTTCTTTCATCCCTAAACAAATGGTGTCCTGTAAAGTTAATGTGATCAAACATCTACTAATTTTTGGGAAAAACCAAAACTCTCTGGATCATGAAGATCTCATATTCCACGATATCCCCTTACGAGCTCCAAGAATCAACTTCAGCAATTTCCGTGGTAGAGTCGTCATTATAGAACACATCCACACTGCAAAGAATATATATATATATATATATATATAGAGAGAGAGAGAGAGAGAGAGAGAGAGAGAGAGAGAGAGAGAGGACCACTGCTTTTGGTTCTCTCTACCTTTTTAAGTGATTATAGCAATGTCATGATGCCATGTCCACAGGGATAACAAAGCCATAAACTCTCTCCCTAGCTTTCTTGGCCTAAACAAGGATTGAAGAAGACCACATATTCACATTTAGAATTGTATGCATAAACACAAATGTACAAACATGTGTGTGTCTGTAAATATAGAAGAAAAACTGTCAACTTACCTCTTCTTCCCAGTTTGTGCGAATGGTAACTAAGAGAAGACAAATTAATTGAACGAGCAGAGCACAAATGATTCCTAGCCAAAGCCCCTAACATACAGAAAATAACATGGAGATTGGAGATTACCCTTTTTCTTTTTCTTTGCAGTTAAGTGAAAACGGCAAAGGGGAAGGGAGAGAGCCAATAGAAAGGGGCACTACTAAAAGTAGGTAATTTTCTTATTAAAAGAATAAAAGAGAAATTACCTTCCCACCCAAGTGTAAGACAAAAGCCATCAAAATAGCAGATGGAATTCCCACAAGATAATATGATCCAAGATTTATAAATGCACCGATCTTCTGCCACCCACATCCTCTAGCAGTTCCTGAATGATCAAATTTAAAATTTAAATGAAATAGGAATAAAAACTGACTGATATAATCTAAATGATCAAAATATATACATAACAAAAAATAGCTTCGAAATTACGTTATATCTTCCTCATATACCTAATAAATGTATAAATTATTATAAAATTTTGTTCTTGTGAAATTAACATCCATCGTACTTGCAAGATTTTATATAAAAAAACTCATATAAAATGATATTGTGATTGTGTTTCACTTATTTGTCTTCTATTTTTGTACATATCAAGAACCTTAAAGGACTTTTTTGGTTAAGGATAATATGGTAAAGATAGAAGTTAAGGGAACCTGAGAGAACACTCTGGAGGGCGTCCACAAAGTTTGATACTGCAAGAATGGGCGTCATAGCTGCTACACGTTTAACAACTTGTATTTCACTGCTATAAGCATAGCCCCAGAAATCTTTTATCAGTATCAAAACTGAGGCAACCAAAGATCCCTCGGCAATGGCTATCATTAGCACTACACATACCGCCAAACGTGCAGCTACTGGATGTCCGGCTCCTAATTCGTTTGATACCCGAGTGCTGGAAAATTAGACATTGAAGAAATTCATTTATGAATTTGAGTAATGATGTGAAACAAAGGGTTTTAATTTGGTTTTTCCCAGTTTCAAAATCACTTCTAACCTTCTTTTCAGTTTGCAATTTACCAAGAAGTTGCCAGAAATTCCATAAAAATCAAGTGTAAGCATACTAATTTGTATTATCAAAGTCATTTACTTAATAAGCATTGAAAAACTGCTGTAAAGAAATCAGTAATCCCCTAAAAGTTAGAAGCATCAGAGAGAAACCAATCTAGGAAGTAGTATCACAAGTTATTTTGCATAATTCACCTGACTGCAGCACTGAGACCGAAGGGGATCATCCAGATTAGGGATGAAGTGTTATGACTGCAGGAAAAAAAAAAAAAGATATTTGGTGAGAAAAAAAATCAAAAACTCATCAAATAACATCTTAATAAGCTGCAAGCTTGATTTAAAACGTTCAGGAAGTCAATACAGATACTAACCAGATAGAAAGCACAGATGTTTCTAATTCTGGATGAGGAAGAAGGCCTGATAACAGAACCATCATTTCAAAAGACCACATTTCTAAGCTGTTCAATATAAAAAAAAATTGCATTAAAATCTATGGATATAGTATCTGTCAAAAGTATATATACTGGCTCTTGGAATGAAAACAGAAAGCCCATGCTCATGACTTCCTGTAGCTGAGGCAATAATTAATGCATGTAAAATATAATTATTATTTGCAGTTTGTACTACTTCAAATTACAAGCATTCTTTCCTTAGGCTATGGTGGAAAAATCTACTAATTTTGTTTTTGTAGGATTTATTTATAAATCAATATTTAGTTAATTGATTTTTTGAGAATGCGTTGGTCTAAATTCTAATACAATTTATGCTATTTTCTAATTGAATTAAAAGTGAATTTAAACATGAATTTCATAAAATTTATGAATTTATTCTAAAGATCAATCAACGAGTTCAACAAGAAATGTCATATTTACCAGACCATAATAGTGGACGGAATACCGAGTCTAAGAAAGACGGAAATGTCATACAAGGCCTCCTTTGAGAATCCTGTCCAAGTTTTCGAGCAAGAGGAAGAGAACTTGACATAAAATGCCAATAATAGCACATTAATCCAATACGAGATTGCATTAGCCACTGCAGCTCCTTTATTTCCGAGACCAGATTTGAATACCAAAACCCAGCATGTAAATATATGCAGTAGAGTTGTGATTCCAGAAAATAACATAACAGGGAATACAATATTCTGGGTTTGTAAGAATCTGACAAGGCACATGAGTAGACCATATGCAAAAATACTCGGAATCATGAAACGGGCATATATGCCTGCTTCTTCGGATATATCTCGATTTTGGCCAAAAAAAATTAGGATTGATCGTGTGTTCGCCCATATAATTGCTAAAGGTATGCTAACAATTGAAAGAACTATCATGGCTCTTTGCATATGTATGCCAAGCATACGGTACTGTTTTGCTCCATATGATTGACCACATAAGGTCTCCAGTCCACATGCCATCCCAAGCTAGTCATGCCAACAAAGAAGAATGTATTACATTTTAAGTCAATACATATCCAACATCATATAAAGTATTATTATAATTTCTTCATCACTAAGTCATAATACAAATCCATGTAATTGAAAATATGAGTAAACCAAACTATCTAGAGTATATAATTTATAATTCAAACTTATGAATTATTAAGATTTAAAAATAAAATAAGGTCAAAGCAAAGGCAAATTATTCTAGGACCAAGAAATTTTCTTCAGAACATTTCAAACCTGTGAAAGTCAACTGGTGCTAATTTTACAAATTTGATAGTGAGAAACAACTAATCAGTATGAATAAAAAATGAAGTTCATATTTCTTTGTGCTTCTCTTTTGAATTTTTGCAAACACCTATTGTGCAATTTTACTTCACATGTAAATCTTATTGCTCGTCCAACCACAAAAAAATTACAGAGGTGGAAATAACTTAAACTTCCATCATCAGAACATTCAATAATATATCACAATTTGATAAGAAGCCACGAATCACTATCATCCAAAAACAGTAAGGATAGGAAAAATATAATGCATATACATGCGTGTATGTGTGTGTGTGGAGGAAGAAAGGAAAAACAACTGACTCACCAAGAAAGAAAAACCAGTAACAGAAGCAAAAGAAGTAGCCATGGAAGCACCAGAAAGAGCCAGCTCTCCAAGATGACCAACGAACATGACGGATATAACCTGCAAACAGAACTGTAATATACCCGAAGTAATTAAAGGCCCGGCCAGCATTAGTTGTTTCTTCACTTCTTCTAATATTAACCTCCTGTTTTCACCACTTCCCTGGTTTCCTTCACCAGCTCGAATCAATGGCGATTTTGGAGACCACGAGTTCTGGCCTGATTCTTTCTCCATTTTTTCTGCCTATACACAAAACCAATACTCAATGAATTCTTACCTACACTGAGATGTTATATACCTTTTTTGGAATTGCGATGTTATTTCGCCGAGATCTGAGAGTCATGTCGGCATCTATGTCAGTTTTTGTCTGTGTACATGCGCACATATAATCCTGAGCATGAAAGCTTTATTCTCACGAAACAATATAAGATTATGTATATATATATATATATATATGCTATTCCAATTATATTTTTCATTTTAAAATTAAAATTTAATTAAAAATTTTACTGATTATTTAATTAAAATTATTGATTTAAAAACTTTCTAAATTATATTTTATACGTAAAAATCTAATTAATATAAATAGGTACATAAATTAGGCACGTGTTTTCAACCCTAAATAATTTATAATTATCATTTACAAAAATTAATTTTAAAATTTTAAATAATTTGAAGTGTTGTTATTAAAAAAATAATTATTTAAATTTCAGTTTAAAAATAACTTCAAAGATAAGACACCTTTAAATTCATTTAAAATATATTAATTTAAAAAGGTAATTTATTTTCTTAAAATTATATAATAAGTTATTATGTTTTATTATCATGATTTTAACTTTTTTTAAAGTCGGTACGGGAGGATGCAAATATAAATATTATGTATTTAATTTTTAACTTCTGTTTAAAAATTTAAAAATAACCTTTTTATTAAAGGTTTATGATTACTTATATTTCACATCATTATAATTTATATTTTCATTTTATTAAATTTTGAAATGTATTTTATGTCTTCTACTTTATTAAGAAAAGAACGGTGAGTTAATATTATACATAAATTATGTTACAGTGTCCGCCTCTGTAGATCTATCTTGACGTTCGTAAACAATTTCATGCCATTTTTAAGTAGTGGGTCGAAATTCTTTTTTGTTTACGTGGAAAATTAATTTCTTTTTAAATATTAATATTTAACAGTTAAAAAATAACAGCTTATAATTAATACTATAAGTTTCAATTTACTTAATCTAATGTTTGAATATTAAAAATATATTTAGACTATCCCCTTACAAGCTCCAAGAATCAACTTCAGCAATTTCCGTGGTAGAGTCGCCATTATAGAACACATCAACACTGCAAAGAATATAATATATATATATATATATATATAGAGAGAGAGAGAGAGAGAGAGAGACCACTGCTTTTGGTTCTCTCTACCTCTTCAAATGATTATAGCAATGTCATGATGCCATGTCCACTGGGATACCAGAGCCATAAACTCTCTCCCTAGCTTTCTTGGCCTGAACAGGAATTGAAAAATACCACATATTCACATTTAGAATCATATGCATAAACACAAATGTACAAACATGTGTGTGTCTGTAAATATAGAAGAAAAAACTGTCAACTTACCTCTTCTTCCCAGTTTGTGCGTATGGTAACTAAGAGAAGACAAATTAATTGAACGAGCAGAGCACAAATGATTCCTAGCCAAAGCCCCTAACATACAGAAGATAACATGGAGATTGGGGATTAACCTTTTTCTTTTTTTTCTTTCTGTTTTTTTGCAGTTAAGTGAAAATGGCAAAGGGGATGATAGCCAATAGAAAGGGGCACTACTAAAAGTAAGTAATTTTCTTATTAAAAGAATAAAAGAGAAATTACCTTCCCACCCAAGTGTAAGACAAAAGCCATCAAAATAGCAGATGGAATTCCCACAAGATAATATGATCCCAGATTTATAAATGCACCGATCTTCTGCCACCCACATCCTCTAGCAGTTCCTGAATGATCAAATTTAAAATTTAAATGAAATAGGAATAAGAATTGACTCATGCAATCTGAAATAGCTCCAATAAATTATTATAAAATTCCATTCTTGTGAAATTAACATCCATTATATTTGTAAGCTTTTATAAGAAAAAATCATATGAAATGTTAGAACATCACTTATTGTGATTATCCTTCACTTATTTGTCTTCTATTTTCGTCAATATCAAGAACCTTAAAAGAATCTTTTGGTTAACGATAAAATAGTAAAGATAGAAGTTAAAGGGAACCTGAGAGAACACTCTGGAGTCCATCCACGAAGTTTGATACTGCAAGAATGGGCGTCATGGCTGCTACACGTTTAACAACTTGTATTTCACTGCTATAAGCATAGCCCCAGGCATTTTTTATCACTATCAAAACTGATGCAACCAAAGTTCCCTCGGCAATGGCTATCATTAGTACTACACATACTGCCAAACGTGCAGCTACTGGATGCCCAGCTCCTAACTCGTTTGATACTCGAGTGCTGCAAAATTACACTTTGATGAAATTGAGTTGTGAATTTGAGTAATGATGTGAAACAGAAGGTTCTAATTTGGTTTTTCCCCAGTTTCAAAATCATTTCTAACCTTCTTCTTTCAGTTTGCAATTTACGAAGAAGTTGCCCACAATTCCATAAAAATCAAGTGTAAGCATACTAATTTGTATTATCGAATTCATTCACTTGATAAACATTGAAAAACTGCTGTAAAGAAATCAGCAGTCTCCTAAAAGTTAGTAAAATTAGAGAGAAACCAATGTAGAAAGCATCACAAGTCATTTTGCACAATTCACCTAACTGCAGCACTGAGACCGAAGGGGATCATCCAAATGAGGGATGAAGTGTTAAGACTGCAGGTACAAAAAGATTTTTGGTCAGAAGAAAATAAAAAAGGCATCAAATAACTTCTTAATAAGCAGCAAGCTTGATTAAAAAAGTTCAGGAAGTTAATACAGATACTAACCAGATAGAGAGCACAGATGTTTCTAATTGTGGATGAGGAAGAAGGCCGGACAACAGAACCATCATTTCAAAAGACCACATTTCTAAGCTGTTCAACATGACAAAATTGCATTAAAATCTATTCAACATGACAAAATTGCATTAAAATCTATGTATATGGTATATATCAAAAGTATTTATACTGGCTCTTGGAATGAAAACATGAAGCCCATGCTCATGACTTTTTGTAATTGAGGCAATAATTAATACATGTAAATTATTATCAATTTTTGCAGCTTGACACGCATTCTTTCCTTAGGCTATGGTGGAAAAATATCTAGTAATTTTATTTTTGTATAATTTATTTGTAAATCAAAATTTAGTTAATTGATTTTTTGAGAATACATGGGTCTAATTCCTAATACAATTTATACTATTTTCTAATTGAATTAAGAGTGGATTTAAACATGAATTTTATAAAATTTATGAATTCATTCTAAAGATCAATCAAGGAGTCCAAAAAGAAATGTCAAATTTACCAGACCATAACGGTGGATGGAATACCAAGCCTAAGAAAGACAGAAACGTCGTACAAGGCCTCCTTCGAGAATCCTGTCCAAGTTTTCAAGCAAGAGGAAGAGAACTTGACATAAGCTGCCAATAATAGCACATTAATCCAATATGAGATTGCATTAGCCACTGCAGCTCCTTTATTTCCCAGACCAGATTTGAATACCAAAACCCAGCATGTAAGTACATGCAGTAGAGTTGTGATTCCAGAACATAGCATAACTGGGAATACAATGTTCTGGGTTTGCAAGAATCTGACAAGGCACATGAGTAGACCATATGCAAAAATACTCGGAATCATAAAACGGGCATATATGCCTGCTTCTTCGGATATATCTCGATCTTGGCCTAAAAAAATTAGAATTGATCGTGTGTTTGCCCATATAATTGCTAAGGGTATGCTAAGAATTAAAAGAACAAACATGGCTCTTTGCATATGTATGCCAAGCATACGGTACTGTTTTGCTCCATATGATTGACCACATAAGGTCTCCAGTGCACTTGCCATTCCAAGCTAGTCATGCCAACAAAGAAGAATTTATTAAATTTTAAGTCAATTCATATCCAACATCATATAAAGTATTATTATGATTTCCTCATCACTAAGTCATAATACAAATCCATGTAATTGGAAATATGAGTAGAGTTAACCAAACTATCTAGAGTATTTAATTTATAATTCAAACTTATGAGTAACGAAGATTTAAAAATAAATAAGGTCAAAGCAAAGGAAAATTATCCTAGGACCAAGAAATTTTCTTCAAAACATTTCAAACCGGTGAAAGTTAAATACTGCTAATTTTACAAAGTTGACAGTGAGAAACAACTAATCAGTATGAATAAAAGATTAAGTTCATATTTCTTTGTGCTTCTCTTTTGAATTTTTGCAAACACCTACTATGCACACTACTTAGTTCATGTGTAAACTTTATTGATTTTCCGACCATATAAAATTACAAGGTGGAAATATCTTATTGAATAAAAGATTTAGTTGAAATTCGATAGTGAGAAACAACTAATCGGTATGAATAAAAAGATGAAATTCATGTTTCTTTGTGCTTCTCTTTTAAATTTTTTCAAACACCTACTGTGCAATATTTACTTTGCATGTAAATCCTATTGCTTACCCAACATAAAAAATTACAGAGGGTAGAAATGACTTAAACTTCCATCGTCAGAACATTCAATAATATATCACAATTTGACAAGAAGCCATGAATTATTATCATCCAAAAAGGGTAAGGATAGAAAAAATATAATGAATATAACATGCGTTCATGTGTGTGTGTGTGTGTGTGTGTGTAGAGGAAGAAAGGAGAAGCCATTGACTCACCAAGAAGGAAAAACCAGTTACAGAAGCAAAAGAAGTAGCCATGGAAGCACCAGAAAGAGCCAGCTCTCCAAGATGACCAACGAACATGACGGATATAACCTGCAAAGAGAACTGTAGTATACCGGAAGTAATTAAAGGCCCGGCCAGAGTTAGCTGTTTCTTCACTTCTTCTAATACTAGTCTCCTGTTATCACCACTTCCCTGGTTTTCTTCACCGGTTCGAATCAATGGCGATTTTAGAGACCACGAGTTCTGGCTTGATTCTCTCTCCATTTTTTCTGCCAATACACGACGCCAATACTCTCCGAACAAGAACCTACAGTGAGATATTATACTAACTTTTGGGAATTGCGATGTTATTTAGCCGAGATCTGATACTCACAGTCAGCATCTATACCAGTTTCTGTGTGTATTTATGTACGCATATATATAACCCCGAGCATGGAAGGCTGTTTGTCTCAGAAGTATGTAATTAGAATTAGTGATTTATTTTTTAAAATTATATTCTATATGTAAAAATGTAATTAAAATAAATATGTAGGACGAGCGTGCCAAACTTACCGACAAGGCGGGGCGCGAATCCTTGATTCATACCTGGACTAACATTCATGAACTCAACACGAAAAATGCTTGGCCCACAAATTATTAGGCACGTGTTGAATTTACAATTATCTCATACTAAAATTAATTTTAAATAATTTGAAAAGTACAGTTATTTCAAAAAAAATATATATTTACAAGTGTCGAAAAGAAATGAATTATTAATATTTTAATTATTATTGTTGTATCGTAGATTGAATGGTGTCTGGTTTGATATTGAATAGAAGAAGAGGTAAAAAGAGAAATGTACTCACATGGGCAAAAGGAACTTTTCCTGCTCTTAAGAAAAACTTTTCAGAGTGAAGAAGTTGGATTAAACTACTACTCTTATTTATAAAAAGGAAATGAATGGTGCCGAAAAACACATTCAAGCCAAGGAAAAGAAAAATTAAAAACAAAAAGGTGATTGTCTTAAAAAAAAAAAAGAGAGAGAGAGAGAGAGAGGAAAGCCAAGAGAGAAGGAAGAAAAAAGTATATATATATATATATATAAGTTCGAGTGCAGGTCAAGAGAAGAAGACAAAATGGTTGTCATTCTCTCTCATAACTGATAATATCACTGGTATCATCTATTTTATCTTTCATAGAAAAAGTTGCAAAGAAAAAAAGAAAATTTGTTCTAAATTTAATTCTTGATGGATTATTTTGCATTTATTTCTGTTAATAATAAATTTTATTCGAAGATTAAACTGTAATTTTTTTCGTTCATACTGAAATATTTTTATATAAAATATTGTATGTATTTAATTTTATAATTATTATTTTTATTCGATTATACATTAATTTAATTTAAAATTATTGTTATTAGTTTTTACTAATTAATTTAGAATTATTTTAATTTATACAAATTACATCTCTATTCGCGATTCAAATAGTATCAGAATTCACTAACAGACTAAAAAATCTTTCAAGAAAAAGCAGAAGATGACAGACACGACGTGTTACCTTAAATGAATTACGTACCATTATGTTTATCTTTTGTATTTTTGCTTTAAGTTGTTTGATTTTCTTTTATCCTTCAACAACTAGTGTCCTCTAAAGTTAATGTGATCAAACATATATTAATTTTGAGGAAAGACAAAAACTCTATGGATCTTGGAGATCTCATATTACACTCTCGTTTGAGTCAATTGGGCGCCAAACAATAACGCAATATCCCCTTACAAGCTCCAAGAATCAACTTCTTGCAATTTCCACTCTAAAACACATTAATACTGCAAAGTATATATATATATATATATATAGAGAGAGAGAGAGAGAGAGAGAGACCACTGCTTTTGGTTCTCTCTACCTCTTCAAGTGATTATAGCAATGTCATGATGCCATGTCCACTGGGATACCAGAGCCATAAACTCTCTCCCTAGCTTTCTTGGCCTGAACAGGAATTGAAAAATACCACATATTCACATTTAGAATCATATGCATAAACACAAATGTACAAACATGTGTGTGTATGTAAATATAGAAGAAAAAACTGTCAACTTACCTCTTCTTCCCAGTTTGTGCGAATGGTAACTAAGAGAAGACAAATTAATTGAACGAGCAGAGCACAAATGATTCCTAGCCAAAGCCCCTAACATACAGAAAATAACATGGAGATTGGAGATTACCCTTTTTCTTTTTCTTTGCAGTTAAGTGAAAACGGCAAAGGGGAAGGGAGAGAGCCAATCGAAAGGGGCACTACTAAAAGTAAGTAATTTTCTTATTAAAGGAATAAAAGAGAAATTACCTTCCCACCCAAGTGTAAGACAAAAGACATCAAAATAGCAGACGGGATTCCCACAAGATAATATGATCCAAGATTTATAAATGCACCGATCTTCTGCCACCCACATCCTCTAGCAATTCCTGAATGATCAAATTTAAAATTTAAATAAAATCAGAATAAGAATCTGACTAATACAATCTGAATGATCAAAATATATATATACATAACAAAAACTTATTCTAATTTTATGTTATATTTTGCCGGTTACCTAATAAATATATAAATTATTATAAGATTCTGTCTTTGTGAAATTAACATCCATTCTACTTGAAAGATTTCTTTTGAAGAAATCATATAAAATGTTAAAACATCACTTATTGTGATTTTGTTTTGCTTATTTGTCTTCTACTTTTGTTAATATCAAGAGCCTGAGAAAAATGTTTTGGTTGAGGATAATATAGTAAAGATGGAAGTTAAGGGAACCTGAGAGAACACACTGGAGCCCATCCACAAAGGTTGATACTGCAACAATGGGCATCATGGCTGCTATACGTTTAACAACTTGTATTTCACTGCTATAAGCATAGCCCCAGATATTGTGCATCGATATCAAAACTGATGCAACCAAAGTTCCCCCGGCAATGGCCGTCATTAATACTACACGTACCGCCAAACGTGCAGCCACTGGATGCCCAGCTCCTAATTCGTTTGATACCCGAGTGCTACAAAATTACATATTGAAGAAACTGAGTTGTGAATTTGAGTAATGATGTGAAACAAAGGGTTTTAATTTGGTTTTTCCCTGTTTCAAAATCGTTTATAACCTTCTTCTTTCAGATTGCACTTTAGTAAGAAGTTGCTCATAATTCCATAAAAATCAAGTGTCAGCATACTAATTTTTATTATCAAATTCATTCACTTAATAAACGTTTAAAACTGCTGTAAAGAAATCAGTAGTCTCCTAAAAGTTAGAAGCATCAGAGAGAAACCAATCTAGAAAATATCACAAGTCATTTTGCACAATTCACCTAACTGCAGTACTGAGACCGAAGGGAATCATCCAAATTACAGATGAAGTGTTAAGACTGCAAGGAAAAAAAGATATTTGGTGAGAAAATAATAAAAGAGCTATCAAATAACACCTTAATAAGCTGCAAACTTGATGAAAAAACTTCAGGAAGCCAATACAGATACTAACCAGATAGAGAGCACAGATGTTTCTAATTCTGGATGAGGAAGAAGGCCAGATAACAGAACCATCATTTCAAAAGACCACCATTCCAAGCTGTCCAACACGATAAAATTGCATTGGAATCTATGTATATGGTACATATCAAAAGTACATATATTGGCTCTTGGAATGAAAACAGGACAGCCTATGCTCATGACTTTCTGTAATCGAGGCTATAACTAATACATGTAAATTATAATTATTTTTTTGCAGTTTGTACTACAAATTACACGCATTTTTTTCTTAGGCTACGGTGGAAAAATCTACTAATTTTTTGTTTTTGTAGGATTTATTTGTAAATCAATATTTAGTTAATTGATTTTTTAACAATCCATTGATCTAATTTCTAATACAACTTATACTATTTTCTAATTAAATTAAGAGTGGATTTAAACATGAATTTTATAAAATTTATGAATTCATTCTAAAGATCAATCAAAGAGTCCAAAAAGAAATGCTATATTTACCAGACCATAACGGTGGATGGAATACCGAGCCTAAGAAAGATGGAAATTTCGTACAAGGCCTCCTTCGAAAATCCTGTCCAAGTTTTCGAGCAAGAGGAAGAGAACCTGACATAAGATGCCAATAATAGCACATTAATCCAATACGAGATTGCATTAGCCACTGCAGCTCCTTTATTTCCCAGACCAGATTTGAATACCAGCACCCAGCATGTGAGTATATGCAGTAGAGTTGTGATTCCAGAACATAACATAACAGGGAATACAATGTTCTGGGTTTGCAAGAATCTGACAAGGCACATAAGTAGACCGTATGCAAAAAGACTCGGAATCATGAAACAGGCATATATGCCTGCTTCTTCAGATATATCTCGATCTTGGCCTAAAAAAATTAGAATTGATCGTGTGTTTGCCGATATAATTGCTAAGGGTATGCTAACAATTAAAAGAACAAACATTGCTCTTTGCATATGTATGCCAAGCATACGGTACTGTTTTGCTCCATATGATTGGCCACACAATGTCTCCAGTGAACTTGCCATTCCAAGCTATTCATGCCAACAAGGAAGAATTTATTAAATTTTAAGTCAGTTCATATCCAATATCATATAAAGTATTATTATGATTTCTTCATCACTAAGTCATAATACAAATCCATGTACTTGGAAATATGAGTAGAGTTAACCAAATTACTTAGAGTATATAATTTATAATTCAAACCTACTGAGTAATTAAGATGCAAAAACAAAATAAGGTCATAGCAAAGGCAAATTACCCTAGGACCAAGATATTTTCTTCAAAACATTTCAAACCTGTGAAAGTTAATTAGTGCTAATTTTACAAATTTGATAGTGAGAAACAACTAATCAGTCTGAATAAAAGATGAAGTTTTGTGCTTCTCTTTTGAATTTTTGAAATACCTACTGTGCAGACTACTTACTTCACATGTAATCTTATTGATTATCCAACCATATGAAATTACAGGGGTGGAAATATCTTACTGAATAAAAGATGAAATTGAAACTTGGCAGTGAGAAACAACTAACCGGTATGAATAAAAGATGAAATTCGTGTTTCTTTGTACTTCTCTTTTGAATTTTTTCAAACACCTACTGTGCAATATTTACTTCACAATTAAAAAAGAAAAAATCACAGAGGTGGAAATAACTTAAACTTCCATCATCAGAACATTCAATAATATAATCATTATCATCCAAAAACAGTAAGGATAGAGAAAATATAATGGATCTACGTGCGTGTATGTGCATGTGGGGGAAGAAAGGAAGAGCCATTGACCCACCAAGAAGGAAAAACCAGTTACAGTAGCAAAAGAAGTGGCCATCGCAGCACCAGAAAGAGCCAGCTCTCCAAGATGACCAACAAACATGACAGATATAACATGCATACAGTACTGTAATATGCCCGAAATCATTAAAGGCCCGGCCAGCCTTAGCTGTTTCTTCACTTCTCCTAATATTTGCCTCCTGTTTTCCCCACTTCCCCGGTTTTCTTCACCGGCTCGAATCAATGGCGATTCTAGAGACCACGAGTTCTGGCTTGACTCTCTCTCCATTTCTTCTGCCTATACACGACGCTAGCGCTCCATGAACAAGCACCTACACTTGGATTATATACTACGTTTGAGGAATTGAGATATTATTTCGCCGAGATCTATAGTCATGTTAGCACCTCTGTCAGTTTCTGAGTCTACATGCACATATAATTCTGAGCATGAA